TGTAGAAGTAAAATGCATAAAGAGTACAATATTGACAGAGGTTAGATATGAGACGAGGGAATACGCGGAAATAGCGATAGCGCACCAATGTGGCAGTTAGCCGATTGTACCATTTCCGACACCCCCACTCAAGCGGATCTGCCACATACCCCTAATAGCTCCCTCAGTCTATCAAATGTATCTGAAGGAAGAGCCTTTGTCAACAAGTCAGCCATATTCTCTGCCGAGGGAATATGTGACAGAGAGACAGTGTTATCTTCAACTTTCTCCCGAATATAATGATGTCGCAGGTCAATATGTTTTGTCTTGTTATGATGAACCGGATTCTTGGCAAGAGCTATAGTTCCCGCATTATCATTGAGAAGTTTCAAAGGTTCTTGACCAAGTCCAAGTCCCAAATCATCCAGAAGTTGTCTTAACCATACAGCTTGGCGTGTAGCATCTGATGCAGCCATGTATTCCGCTTCTGTTGTTGAAAGCGCAACTGTGGGTTGTCTCCTACTTTTCCAAGCAACAACTCCACCATAAACTTTAAAGACATATCCAGTGGTTGATCTTCTAGTGTCCAAATCTCCTCCCCAATCTGCATCTGCATAACCTAATGCAATGCGATTGCTATTCTCTTTGTTGAAGGTGAGACAAAGATCAGAGGTACCACGGATATAACGAAGTAGGTGTTTGACCGCTTTCCAATGTGAGTCATTCCATTTACTAAGGAATCTAGATAAGAGACTTGCTGGGAAAGCAAGATCAGGTCGCGTTATGGTTGAAGCATAAAGAATAGCCCCCACTGCTTGGGCATATGGGTAGTGTTTTGCTTCTTCATGTTCTTCATCTGTTGCAGGGATTGGACGAAATCCAGAAGGTAGAGGAGTTTTTGCAGGATTGCAATCTTTCAAGTCAAACCTTTCAAGAAGTGATTCAAAGTAATGTTCTTGAGACATAAACAGTTTGTGATTTGTTCTATCACGATGAATGTTGAAACCAAGAAAGTATCCAACTGGACCAGAGTCTGAACACTCAAATTCTGAATTAAGTGCCGCTTTGAAGTTGTCCAACATAGTTCGATTATTACATGCAATGAGTTGATCGTCGACATGTACAGAGAGCATGAGGATGTTATCGCCTTCACGCTTTGAATAGAAACAAGGATCCGCTTTTGTAGGAAGTAGTCCTTGAGACTGTAACCACTTATCAAGTGCTTTGTTGAAACATCTTGGTGATTGTTTTAAACCATAAAGTGACTTGCGTAACCAAAGTACTTTGTTTGCTGGGATGTTGGATCCTTCTGGAGGTTGCATGTAGATTGTTTCTTCTAATTCCCCATTCAGGAATGCTGCTTTGATATCAACTTGGTCACATTCAAGATCAAAGTGATTGACGATTGCTAGAAACACCCGAATTGAATCTTTGTGTGCAACAGCAGCAAAGAGTTCATTGTAATCCAATCCTTCCACTTGATTGTAACCTTTTGCCACAAAGCGAGCTTTGTAGGTAGATGGGAGACCAGTTTCTCCGTCTATCTTGCGAGTATACACCCATCTCCCCTTTAGAATGCGCATTTTTGGATCCAAGTCCACAACTTCCCAGACTTTGTACTTTGACATTTTTGCAAGTTCTTCATCCATGCTTTTTCTCCAACATTCCCATTCACCTGTATTTTGCGCTTCTCGATAGGAGTTGGGTAGATTTGTGGCTGCAAGCGCATGAGCTGCAAGACTGAATGAGTTATCATCATCATGGAGGTTTAGTTCATCTGAACTTCCAGATGAGGAAGAGGATTCTTCATCTTGCAAATTTTGCGCAAATTGTCGTTGCGCAATTGCATTCTGACGTCTAGGATCACGTTCAAGATTTCGTAAAAACTCTTGATTCTGTGCGTTTCTTTGCTCCTCGAGTTGCTCAAAGAGAGTTCGTATGCGCCCCAATGGCTGAGCTTCATTTCGGTTGATTTCGTCTTGTGGGTCTTGCGCAATGTCATTTCTAATTTTTTCAACTCCAATTGAGATTGTTGTGAATTTTGAATTTGCTTTTTGAATATCTAAGTCCCTGCAAGACGGATTTGACTGATTTTTGCGGTGAATATCCGCCCCACTACCAATAACCTGTGGTGTAAGTTCTAGATCAGAAACCTCAGGAACTTTGGAGAAATCTGATTTTGTAGCAAAAATGACATCTCTTGTGATCCAAATTTTCTGTGTGAGAGTGTCCAAAATGCGTAAGTTGTTTGTACCTTCTTGGTAACCGAGTAGTTGTCCCTCGCGATAGCGTTGCGCAAGTTTGTTGCTTTGTTTATGGTCACGGTGGTAGACTTTACACCCAAATGGTTGAAGATGAGAAAGTTGCTTTTTGCTTTTGTACCAAATGTCATCTGGAACTTGTCGCTTTGGACCACCAGGACACCGATTGCGCGTATAAGCAATGTAATTTGCCGCTTCTGCCCAGTACTTAGCAGGAAGCCCAGAATGTGCCAGGACTGTGCGAACTCCATTGAGAATTGTAAGATGAAGTCGTTCTGCACATCCATTTTGTGTATGCGCATCTGGAGGTACTTGGATGTGTTGAATACCATGTGTTGCGCAAAAGTTCCTCATTGCAATAGAACCAAACTCTCCACCATTATCAGAGCGAAGTGTTTTTACTTTGGTATCAAGTTGTCTTTCCACTTTTGCAATATGGTATTCTAATTGCGTGAAAGCGTCTGATTTGTGTTTGAGAAAGTAAAGATGTACTTTTCGGGTGAAGTCATCATAACAAGATAAGAAATAAAGCGCTCCACTAAGGGATGGAGTTCGGGCTGGTCCCCACAGATCAAGATGAATGACTTGTAGCGGTTCAGTAGCACGAATTTCGCTTGGAATTGATGGTAATCTTCTCCCTTTTCCAACTACACAACTTCTGCACTGAAAATCTTTTGCATGAGAGTTTGTAAATTCACATCCCAACCGTCCTGACTTTGACAAATTCACTAAAGCGCCAACATTGAGATGTCCAAGTCGCTCGTGCCAGTCTAGGAGTAGGTCAGTTGTGTTTGCAACATTTGCAGAAGGAGAACTTGCTTGTTGTAGTAGATAAAGACGATTTTGTTTTTGCGCAGAGAGAAGAACTTGGTGATTCTTGCAGAAAGTCGCAATCCCCTTTCTAAATCGCCATTCTGAATCTCCCCCATCTTCTGATGCGCCTACAGACAGCAAATTTCGGTCCAAACCAGGCACTAAAAGCGTGTTTGGAAACTCCACCTCGTTTATGACTAGTGTACCTGCTTGTGTACATGGTAGAATAGCAGAATTTCCGAATTTTACGCGAGTTGGAGGGATTGAATGAATTGATGAAAGCGAATTTTTGTCATTACACATGTGGTGTGAAGCGCCAGAGTCAACCACAAACACTGACTTCGATTTTTCAGCTGAAAAAGCGATGGGATCGTCTGCAGTAGCTACAGCAGTGAGGAAAGCGCTAGCGTCGGAAAGATAAGCGATATCGGCTGTTGCTTTTGATTCCTCTGTTGCTTTCGGTTCTTTTAAAGCAACATTTGCGCTTTTTGAACTTTTCCCTCGGTTTTTGAAACAGTTTTCGGTGGAATGACCGGTTTTCTGATGAATAGAGCAGTATTTGGAATGATCTGCTGGTGGGAATCGATCAAATGGTTTCTTTGGGTTGTTGAAAGTTGATTTAGAGCGAAATTTTGATTTTGCAAACATTCCAGTTGCGCTTTCTCCCTCAGTTTTCCTCCTACTCCATTCTGCTTGAACTCCAGCCTGTACTTCGCTTGAAGACAGCAATTCTCTAAGCCAAAGCGTCTGTTTAAGCGTTGTAAACGACTCTGGAAGCGCCAATGTCATAGCATAAGCTAACATTTTGTCTGACAAGTTCTCCCCAGCCGAATTTAACTGTGCATGTGCACTGCGCTGTGCTGCAAGCGCAGGCATTGGATCCTCCCCTTCTAAAATCGTTTTTCGAGCCATTTCTTGAAAAAGTGCAGCTTGCCTGGCTCCAACCGCTGCAGAGTACTGTTTCTTGATCTCCTCCCAAAGCGATTTCGGATTTGGCGATTTCCAGTCTTTAACGGTAGCAGGAAGTGCTGAGGAAATTGTTTCTGAGAGCGATTGAGAGATGATGGAATATGCTTTTGCAAATTTGAGACGTTCCTTGATGTTTTCCTCATCTTTCAAGTCTTTAGATGGCGGTTCGGCGTCGATATACGGTAGTAATCCCTTGCCCATAAGTGTGGTAGCGACATGAGCTTCCCATTGCGCATAATTCTCGCTTCCTCGCAATTTTACAATTTTTACTTTTACTTCGGTGTCAGATGAGTCGGACATTTTTCGAGATTGAATATCTCGATAACGAATGGAGGAACAGAGCTGATTTTGGATGTGGTGGTAGACGCAATGTGTTCCTACAGGTGTCGTAAAATCCAGCCCAGTCGGTTCGAAGTGGACCAAGTAAAACGAGAAAGACGATTTTTGCAATTTTAAATTTGGATTGTGGTGTCAAATTTACCAAATGCAGATAACTTTGAAACGACTGATGCTACGATGCTGAGATCGAGGGTGGTGATAGACGCAATGGTAGCAGATGTGTGGGCGAAGTAAGAGGACTGGAGGTGGAGTATTGATTGAGGTAATGGCAAAGCGATATTTTCCAAATGTAAATCAGCTGAAGTTCAAACAACAAGGAATAGACTCTCAGAGTAACTCAGCTGATTGCGAGGCGCGCTTGGTATGTCCTAGGACTCAGAGGCGCGCCACTGGGGTGTCCAGATTCGTCTACACCACTGTATCTAAAGCGATACACGATGCACCTCCCACAATAAAGCAGGTCCGGTTTTAGGAGCAAGAAGAGAGTAATGAATGAGAAAAAAAGCGAAAGTGTGGAAGTGATTTCGACTTTTCACCTGCGCTTCTGCAGGACTTGCCTTCACTCCCAGCCGAGAGCGTCGATACGGATACCAGAGGCTTGCTGTAAAGCGTGGGTTTGAGGAATAAGAAAGCGAAAATTTAAAAGTGATGAGGGAATAAATGAAGATACCAAGTTGTCAATTTCTTAAAAATCTCAAGTGCTGAGGAAATTGTTTCTGAAAGGGATTGGAAAATTATCGAGTACGCTTTCGCAAATTTGAGACGTTCCTTAATGTTTTCCTTATCTTTCAAGTCTTTAGATGGCGGTTCGGCGTCGATATAGGGTAGTAATCCCTTGCCCATAAGTGTGGTAGCGATATGAGCTTCCCATTGCGCATAATTCTCGCTTCCTCGCAATTTTACAATTTTTACTTTCACTTCGGTGTCAGATGAGTCGGACATTGCGTAAAATGCAAATAACTTTCGAAGGAGTTATCGGAATGTGACGAAATTATCGGTGATCGTAGGCGCAACGTGTTACTATTGGTGTAGTGAAATTCAGCCCAATCGGTTTGAAGCGGACCAAGTAAAACAAGAAAGACGATATTCGAGTTTTTAAATTTTGATTGTGGTGTCAAGTTTATGAAATCCAGATAACTTTGGAATGACGGGTCAGATGTAGAAAGTAGAATGCATAAAGAGTACAATATTGACAGAGGTCAGATATGAGACAAGGGAATACGCGGAAATAGCGATAGCGCTCCAATGTGGCAGTTAGCCGATTGTACCATTTCCGACAGGGAGTTAGAATGCTGAGATTGACGGTAGTAATAGAGACGGTGATCGCGGATATGTGAGCAGAATTAGAGGACAAGATTGAAAGTATTGATTGAGATATTGGAAAACCAATATTTTGCGAAATGTAAAATCAGCAACAGTTCAAACAACAAAGAATAGACTCTCAGAGTGACTCAGCTGCTTGCGAGGCACGCTTGGTATGTCCTAGGACTCAGAGGCGCGCCACTGGGGTGTCCAGATTCGTCTACACCGCTGTATCTAAAGCGATACACGATGCACCTCCCACAATAAAGCAGGTCCGGTTTTAGGAACAAGAAGAGAGTAATGAATGAGAGAAAAAGCGAAAGTGTGGAAGTGATTTCGACTTTTCACCTGCGCTTCTGCAGGACTTGCCTTCACTCCCAGCCGAGAGCGTCGATACCGATACCAGAGGCTTGCTGTAAAGCGTGGATTTGAGGAATAAGAGAAGCGATAATTTATAAAATGTGATGAGGGAATGGAAAGAATTTCCGATTTTGAATTTTTGGTCCTCTGCTTCAACCGCTACTCCGATTTACAATCTGATTTCAGATATAGATAGCTCGCAGCGAAGCGGTGTAGGAACAACAGAGAGCGATAGATTTGGTCGTGAATTGAGGAAATGAGAACGAAGTATCGAATTTTGGAATGAAAAGGTGATGTTTGGAATTTTGATTTCGAAATTTTGGTCTGATGGTTCAACCGTTCCACCGAAATCGAGTCTGGTTGTAGATCTAGAGAGAGCACAGTGGGGCAATTCAGGAGATGCTGAGAGCGATGTAATTGGTGTAGAATTGAGGTAAAGAGGATAAAAATTCGGTTTGTGAGTGAAAAAGAAGTCTTATTGTTGCTTACAGAAATTCCGAATTTGTAATTGATCTCCTGTCCCAACCGTTTTTCCAAATGTCAATCTCTTTCTTTTTCTATGTAGCTCCTACTGTCCTCTTTCTAATGACGTAAAAAGCGATGTATTTCGTTCAGAATTGACTGAGTTGTGTTGAAAAAGCAATTTTGCTGGTAAAGGAGGGATATTACAGTTGAAAATTTTCACTTTCGATCTATCTCGCTATTCGTGAATGTTGTCGGTCTCCTCTTTTCGGTAATGGTGGAGACAGTGACGCTCTGTTCAGATCCGAAGAGATATCGAGAATCGGAGCAGTATTGGAGGAGATAGCGTGAAAGTGAGAAAAGCGATTTGAAGCGAAAAGCGAAATTTTGAGTTGAGTTGATGATTCTACTGATAGTTCTACTGATTCTAATGCTGGAGGGACCACAGGGGTGTCGGGAGCAGTTAGATCTTGTCTTAAGAGCGATATTTCAGGCTCATAACCTGTCAGATGTAGTAGAAGTAGAATGCATAAAGAGTACAATATTGACAGAGGTCAGATATGAGACGAGGGAATACGCGGAAATAGCGATAGCGCTCCAATGTGGCAGTTACCGATTGCTCTATTTCCGACAATTTTGAGTTGAGTTGATGAATCTACTGATAGTTCTACTGATTCTAATGCTGGAGGGACCGCAGGGGGTGTCGAGAGCGATTAGATAGTGTCTCAAAAGCGATATTTCAGGCTCATAACCTGTCAGATGTAGTAGAAGTAGAATGCATAAAGAGTACAATATCGACAGAGGTGAGGGATGAGACGAGGGAATACGCGGAAATAGCGAAAGCGCTCCAATGTGGCAGTTACCGATTGCTCTATTTCCGACATAGCTCTCCCTAACTCAATGGTTGTAACTACTGAATATATATCTCGCTACTGACAACAATCAAGGATCGCTGAAGGAGTTCAGCAATCTGTAAACTATCTATACTTCCTGTCACGGCTGTCAAACAACTACTTTCTAACAGACCGACGATCGACGAACCTCGGCTAACTTGACGCTTCTAAGTGGATGTCTCACCCAACCAGGAGGGTGCAGACGTCGAAAGGAGTGTAACTACGGCGTAGTTTGGCGTAGTTACTCTAACTGGGGGTTTGTTCTACTGATGGCAATGTATCTCGATTTGTATATAGCTATCTCTATCTGTCTTTCACTACTGACAACAATCAAGGATTGCTGAAGAACTTCAGCGATCTTCTCAGCTAATATTATCTATCCCTCCTAGATGTTCACCCAACCCTCTCGCGCTTTGATGTACTTCAACACACTTCGTCCAACTTCCCCAAGTCCCCGGCCATCCTCCTCCTCCTCCAACTAACTCCGCCTAACATCGCCGCACTTCTGCTTCCATTGTCCCTACTTAGCCTAACTCTGTCTAACTTCGCCGTACTTCTGTTTCCTTTGTCCCTACTTAGCCTAACTCCGTCTAACTTCGCCGTACTTCGTTGTCCCTATGCTCCAGACCCCCGTATATCTTATTCTCCCGTTGTACTTCGCCGTAGTTGGTCTCAGATGTCCTGAGTTACGTGTAGAGTAAAGAGGTTAAGACGTGATAGGGGTTTTGATGGTCAAAGGAGGGTCATTGTTGGTGGAATAATTGAGGCGTCACGACGTAGTTCGTGACACTTCCCTTCTCTCCTCATAGAACGTCCCTCAACTCCTGCACAGCCTCATGCTCAGTCCTCTTTGCTCAACTTTGCCGTACCTCGCCATATCCCCGGTATCTTACTCCGCTCACTTTGACTAACTTCGCCTAACTTCCCCTACTCTGCTCTCCCTCGGTCTCCTTCCCCTCACTTTGCCGTAGTTCTCCGCTAGCCGGGGTTATTGTGACAAATACCCTCTAGGTTCTCGTAACTTCGCCGTAGTCGGTCTCAGTGGTTTGGGTGGTGGTTGATGATGGATGGTGGTTCGGTGATGATGAAAGGAGGGTTGGTGACGATAGTTGTCAGGGATGTTACGACACGGTTCGTGACACAGTGTGCTAAACCACCGTCCTAAAAGGTCTAATAACCGGCGGCAAATCATAACCGTCGGTTGCTGGTTAAATACCCAACCCATCCTAACACTATCCAAACTAACTTGTCACATCCTTCGCGACAACAACCACCATCGTCAACCCTCCTTTCACCATTACCAAACACCTATCCATCATCAATCACCACAACCCCAAACCACTGAAACCAACCACAACGAAGTCACAAGAACCTAGGGGCTATTAGTCACGACAACCCCGCCTAGCGGAGAACTACGCCAAGGTTAGTGGAAGGAGATGGAGAGATACAGAGCAGAGTGGGAGAAGTAAGACGGAGTGCGGCAAAGTGAGCGGTCTAGGACATTGGGGATATGGCAAGGTAGGGCAAAGTTGAACAAAGAGGACTGAGCACGAGGCTGTGCAGGGGTTGCGGGACAGCAAAGTTAGCCGCAGTTCATTGACAATCACCTTATCATTTACCACTTGACGTATTACTACAGCGAAGTTAGCCGTAGTTCCCCCAACGACTACCCTGTCCTAGTGAGACATCGACACCCCACTACGACGTACTTAGCCGAGGTTTGTCGACTGTTGGTCAGAAGAGAAGAGGAAACGACAATCGTGACACCATATCATTCGACATGGTGGAATGTATGCAGATAAGTTCATTGGATAACATTAGGAAGATTGTTGCGACCCATCCTTGTGAGACCTGAAGGACAAAGACGGAGTGGAAGATAACGCTTTAGATGGTCTTGGACCAAGACAAATGAAGATTGTCCATGGTACTGTGAAGTGATCAGATGATAGTCAAGTCATGAAAGCATAAGTCAAGAAGGATAGGATGGGTTGGAAGGATCGACTGGTCAAGTGTCACGGTCCTGTCCTGGACAGACCTCAAGGAATCAAAGACAGGTGGACTGCGACTGTTTAATTAGCTTGGACAACGACGGTTAGTATGTTGTCCGTAGACTTGTGATGTGGTTGGACGGCTAAGGTGACTTGCGAAGGATCCGGGCAGGTCAAGATGATGACAAGGACGTGTGTGATGGCGTAGACAGGCGTAATGATGATGAGGGATGTGTCGAGCGTAAGTAGTATGTCAAGAGGTCTTTTGTGAGTGGCAAATAATATTTTGATCCTTGAAAAGAAGAAACTACAAAGTAGATAGGTGTTACGGGGTAACAACGAATCGAGGGAACTCTATCGAGTTCGACGGATTAGGATGGAGGAAAGCGGGAGTTGGAGGCAGTGCTGCAGTAGGTAGGGACGGGTTTTCCCCTTTCGAGATTTTCCCCACTGGGTTTGCTCAAAGCGGTTTTTCACCTGTCCAAGTATGTACGTAGACGCTTGCAGCAGGAAGGAGACGAGGACAAGGATAGCCGTAGACAGTATATAGTACAATCAGCAAAGTACCAACTTTGCTGATTCTTCAATATCATTCTTTGGCTACATCGATTGCAGAGGAGACACGATCCATTAGCACCAGAGCCCCTAGATTTCCACGAGACATCCATCGAGTTCGACCCAACCTGCGACCTAGTCGTTGTGTTTCCAGTACCGTTACAAGTTGAAGAATCAGCCTTACGCACCTTGGGTCGAATTGGAGAGTACTGTATGCTCACCAGAGGGAAAGCGCGGAAAATGATACCAGAAAAAGAGGAGTTGGAACAAGGGCTGGTCCCAGAGGAAGAAATACCAACAAGTTCTTCGAGAAGTACCATTTCACATGATCTCACTTCTACCACCACTACCCCAGATCCGCTAAATGAATTATCGCAGCAGT